TATAGGGATAGGGGGCACTACAGGGATAGATGGGGAACAGGGTTACTATAGGGGTAAAGGGTGCACTATAGGGGAAGAGGGGGGCACTATAGGGATAGATGGGGAACAGGGTTACGATAGGGAAGAGGGGGCACTATAGGGGAAGAGGAGGGCACTAAAGGGATACATTGGGAACAGGGTTACTATAGGCGTAGAGGGGGGCACTATAAGGATAGATGGGGAACAGGGGTACTATAGTGGTAGAGGGGGCACTATAGGGATAGATGGGGAACAGGGTTACTATAGGGGTAGAGGGTGCACTATAGGGGAAGAGGGGGGCACTATAGGGATAGATGGGGAACAGGGTTACTATAGGGGTAGAGGGGGGCACTATAGAGATAGATGGGGAACAGGATTACTATAGGGGAAGAGGGGGGCACTATAGAGATAGATGGGGAACAGGATTACTATAGGGGAAGAGGGGGGCACTATAGGGATAGATGGGGAACAGGGTTACTATAGGGGGAGCAGGGGCACTATGGTCTCACTTACCAGGCAACAGATTCAGGCCTCGGTTAGCTCCGCCCCCGCCGACCACTTGGCTCCGCCCCATCGGCTGCTTGGCTCCGCCTCCTACAGTCTCTTTCGCTGCTAAGCCCTGGTAGAGGGCAGGGGGTGTGCAAGCTGTGTCAGCCATAGGGCGCCCCCTGCTGCCATGGCGCCCTGTGCGGCCGCACAGCTCACACACCCCTAAGGCCGGCCCTGCATGCACCCCTTGCACACAGAAAAACACACAATGCATTACACACAGACACACATGCACAAGCAATGCATCCCTTACACACAGCAACACACAATGCACCCCTTACACACACTCAATGCATCCCTTACAGACGCACACACTGCATCCCATACATACACAAATTCATCTTGCAGCCCTTACACATACAAACACAGATTCACACAATGCATTCCTTTCACACATCAGGACATCCCCCACAGACACACTCCACTACCTGTGAACAAAATCATTGGTGGAACATGAAGGTGGACCCTGGGACCCAGACCTTGAGCTGTGTAAAGGCCCCTCAAAAAAATGGAGCTGCTTCCCGTTCTCCCAGAACATTGATTTTTGTGACCACAGTTACAAACCGCCTCCAGAGGGCCTGTTCTACACCAGACCAGTGGAGCCAGATGGCAGCTAGAGCCCATCATCATCCTCATCTGGTTGTAAGTAGGCAATCTAGTATATTATTCGTGGCACTAATCTGTAATTTACCTCACATTAAAGGGACACTATAGTCCCCAGAACCACTGCAGGCCTTTAAATGTAAACACGGCGGCACTGCAGCACTGGTGTTCGTTAACATGGCAGATCATATGGCTGGGGCATTATGATGTCACATGGGGGGGCGGCAAACTTTACTTTTGCCCAGGGCGGCAAAAATACTTGCACCGGCCCTGCAGACACTGCATCCCTGTGGGCGGACTCGGGGGGAATTGGAGGGCAACACTGCGTGGACAGGTGCAGGCACCGAGGGGCCCAGACCTTGAGCTGTGTCAGGGGCCCCAAAATTTCTGATGGCAGCACTGGGAACATATAGACATCCCTCCGGTACATTCCCAGGCGCCTGAGCCTTTTTTTTAAAACAATTTCCATCACTAAAGGAGACTGTATCTTGATACTAGTGTTAGCAACGATATTCTGCTTAGGGACTACAGAAGATACATCAAAAGTAGGATTGACAATATGTTCGTATTGACGTGATAATGAATCGGCTTTAGAATTGTTTGAACCGGGTCTATATGTCAATATGTTGTTAAAACGATTTAGAAAAAAGAGACCATCTGGCTTGTCTAGCAGAAAGACGTTTGGCCTCTCCAATATAATATAGGTTTTTATGATCCGTAAGGATAGTCACAGGAAGGACTGTACCTTCTAATAATGACGCCATTCTTTTAGGGCAAGAATTACGGCAAGGAGTTCTCTGTCTCCAATGTCATATCGTCTTTCTGCATCAGATAACTTCCTTGAATAGAACCCACAAGGATGTAGGGGTAGATCAGGACTTGGTCGATGTGACAACACTGCTCCTACACCAGTCATGGATCCATCTACCTCTAACAAAAAGTGGAGGCTAGGAATAGGATGTACTAAAACAGGAGCTGATGCAAAAGAGGTTTTTGTAAATCTTTATTTTTTTTTTTTATTCTTTATTTTTGTTGTGCATGAGTAACAATCATATGACAGTAATGCCACAACAGCATACTTAGACAATGTGAACATACAAGAGTGTGAACTGTTATATAGCATTGAGAAGGTACGCACAGATATTTATATAGTGATAATAGCGAAATCAAGCTGGGTACATGCTGGTGAGCCATAGTGAGTTCTTCTATCGTTGATTACAGTAGCGTAAGGTTAATAAGTGTAGTAAGTGTCTTCGCTTTAGCCTCGGGCCCTTTATATAGTCGCGCTTAACTATGCTCAAGTGTGGAAGAAGTATTCCTAGCATTTACAGGCTGTCTAAACAGTCATATCCAACAGTAGATAGACAGTTATTGCCGTTACATTTTTAACATGCTTGGGAACATATGCTGAACTAAAGGGTATAACAATAACAATTCGTGCCTAGTCACCTGGGAGGTTGATCGTGAGCATGTATATTAAATATATAAAACTGGCGATATAGGCTGCTTAGAAATAATAATCCTGCCCGTTTAGTGTAGAATGCAGTGTACTAGATCCAGCATGTTGTCAAACATGGCAAGAGCGCTGTTAGTGCACCTCTGTGTGCAGGGTTAGTGTGGAAGATATGCTGCTGTGTTGTTATGCAAAGCATGGAGATTTGCAGCAGAGTCAGCAGTGCACACATTACCTTCTATGCCGGACATGCCAAATCATAAAATAATCTAAGATAACAATATAAATGTTAAGCATCAACATGAGCCTGGCAGGTAGGAAAAGTCAGAGGAGAGACACAGAGGGAAAGCATTGCATTTGTGGTAAAGCACTGCTGTGGTGAGGCAAAGCAATGCAGTAGGTTTACAGGCAATATATTTTAGACATGCAAATTACTGACTGGGATGAGCGAGTAGGTAAGTCAGTTCGCAGGTAGCCATTAGTATCCCTGCTCCTAATAAGTCATGCTAGGCTGTATATGCATAAAATAGTGCTAGCTGGGCTTAGATTTAGATAGTGTTAGCTAGCAACACATTGCGGTTTAGGTAAATACATGCAGGCAATAAAGTTAAAGGGTTGGCAAGGGGTGACATGGTATTAGCTCAAAGATTGGTACTTTAAGTTTAGTTGGTGTGCAGGGTGTGTAAAGAAGTGCTGCTGTAACGAGCTATGCTCGGCAGACCCTATTCCGCTGCCCGTGCTTATCCGATCCCCTCTGGGTGCCAGACGCAGTCCTTGGGAGCTCTCCTGAGTATCCTGCTTTTCTGCGTCTCGGCGGGGCGGTGTGGGCTTCTGTGTCCGAGTGTCAGATGAGGTGACCTGTTTGCTTCTCGGGCTCGTGTCCGCCGTGGGGCTGGATTCTGCAGTGATCTGTACCTCGGCATTGTCGGGCAAGTTGAACGGGCCTGGCGGGTTTTGGCTCTCCGCTGTGCCCTGCGTCTGTTGTAGTATCTCCTGTCTGTTTTCGCCCTCTTGCGCTGGGGTCGTTGTGGCTTTGCCTGCCGTGTTAATGAGGACTGTCCTGCAATTATGCCCCTCTGAGCCTTCTTTCTGGTTGGAGGCAGTGTCTTCGCAGGGAGGCTGCTTGCCTGTGTGGAGATGAGCGGTTGCGTTCTGGCCTCCAGTTTGCGCCAGAAGTTGGCAAAGATTGCTTCCAGCCTATGTAGGACCCCTAGTTGTGGGTCTATAGGCTCGGGGAGACATGAGGCATCCGCCATTTTGGGTGTCGCGTCGTGTAGCATGCATGTCGGCGCTGTTCCCCCTTGCACTCTCTCTGTACCAGGTTCGCCTCCCTTGTATGGACCGCGATCACCCCCGACGGTCCAGGGGGGGGAGTAACGGGGCTCCCGCTCGTGATGTGTCGGCATCCAGTGGCGCCGGACCGGGAGATCGGCCGCCTCTCCCGCTCGACGGGCCCCAGGCCTCATGTCACAAGTCGGTTGGCCAGCTGACCTCAGACGATTCGCTGCCCCCAGTGTTGTTTTTGTGCCCTTTTGTGGGTCAAGTAGGTCTGTTTGGGTTGCCAATTTTGAGTTATTTAGGGCCAGCAATAGCTTTATTTGCCTTGTTGTCTGGGGAGCTCTGCAGTAGCACGTCTGTCTTCCATGCTGGTCAGGCCCCGCCCCCGTAAATCTTTATTTTATTCGTGCATAGCAAGAACAAACACGTTTGCACTGCCACGACAGCTGGTGCAGACAAATATGTAAACATATTATAACATTGGTATAGCATCGAAAACATAGCACATTTTTATGTTTTTAAGAGTGAAATTATGTAACAAGTTGAGTGTTGAACATGCTTATATAGTTCGAGCTACTGCTAGTTTACACGTTTTTAAATCAAGGGATAATCTAGTAGTTCTTTTTAGTAGTATGTGACGTAGTTTTAACAAAGCTTTGTGTAGACATGTGGTGGAATCTCGGTAAAAATAAATTTAGTAGGCCGAGATTACCACGTGGCATGTGTACGTGCATATGCTGACGTATCGATCAGTTGGTTGCACGAGGCAAGATACGATCAGT